TGCTGAGTCAGCGCCGCCGCAGCCGCCCCCCGCCTTCCCGCCCTAAGTGCGCCCTCCCGCCCTCCGGCCGCTCGGGAGCCCCGGGGAGCCCCGCGGCGGGGAAGCGGTGGCGTCCGTCCCCCACCCGCCCGCGGGCAGCTCCGGGTCCGCTGTGTGCAGGAGAAGCGGCGGCTGCAGGAGAAGATCCGAGCGGCGCGCCTGGAGCTGGAGGAGGAGAAACTCCGCGTTGAGCGGCTCAAGGTTGGGGGGTCTGCACAGCCTGGGGGATGAAGTGGGGTATCAGTGCGAGTCGAGTGGGGGGACGCTAGGAGCCTCCCTCCAATCTCGGAGCCTGGGGACATTCGTCTTAGCTTCTGGGGACTTCGCTCAGCTGGGGGTGGGGCTGGATACGGGCGTGTGTTCCACCTTTGGGAAGAGGATGGGGACAATGAAAGTGTCTTTCTCAATTTTGAGGCCCTGAAAGGAACTTCAGTTCAGCTTTGGAAGGAGAGGGATATTAATTTCACCTTTAGGGTGTCTGTCCCAGCCTTGGAGGGGTTATAGGGGGTGTGTTAGGAGTCTGTCCCAGTCTGGAAGGGCTGTGGGGGGTGATGGGGGTGTCTGTCCCATCTGGGAGGGCTGTAGAAGGGTAATGAGTGTCTATTGTAGCCTAGAGGGTTGAGGGGATAGACGGGGTGTGTTTGAGCCTTGCAAGTCTATGGGTTGTCACGGGGTGTTTGTTCCCCTGGCAGTGTTGTTGGAGTCCCAAGGGGTGACTGGGGGCATTGAGGGTATGTATTCCAGCCTGAGAGAGAAACGGGGTGTCTGTTCCATCCCGGAGGCTGTAGGACAGTAGGAGACCTGCCTAGCTCAGGTGGTCCTAGTCATCCTGTGTGGGATGGGGTAGCCCTCATGCCCAGCCTTGGCTTCTTTTCCCATGCCCAGAGGAAGTCTCTCCGGGAGCGTTGGCTGATGGATGGGGCGGCTGAGGGACCAGACTGGCCCAAGGACCCTGCCTCTCAGGATCCCCAATCGCCTGAGAGCCAGGCCCAGGCCCGAATCCAGAACCTGGAAGACAGCTTGTTCACGTGAGTGGGACCCTGGCTGCTGGCCCTGCCCCACTCAGTCTGCCAGGACCCTGGGCCCACTCCTGAGAGGTGGCAAATTGGGCCTGGGGGCCCAGCTCCCAGCAACTCCCTTTCTTCCTCAGGCTCCAGGCCCAGCTGCAGCTGTTGCAAAGTGCATCCACAGGTGCCCAGCACAAGCCCTTGGGCAGACCCACCTGGCGCAGACAGGTGAGGGGTCAGGGGAGGGCTTGGGAGGAAGGGTAGTCAGCTGGGCCAAAGGCAGGACTCTGCCATGTGCAATGTAGCCACTAGGTCTGGATTTGAATCCACTCTCTGCTATTTCTTTGCTCTGTAACCTTGGGCGAATCACTTCCCCTGGCTGAGCCTCATTCCCTCTCTCTTAAATGGTGATTATAACAGCATACACTTCAGGGAGCCACTGGGTCAGTAAACTCACCAGTAATGGGATATGGGGAAGTTTTGATAAAAACTTTTTATCAAAAAGTTTTGATAGCTAATATGACCCGAATGAGAACTGTAGTCAGAAGATGTGGGTGGGAAGTCATGGGACTCAACCTTGGAAGTGGGATAGGGTCACCATGAGGCAGTCTCTTATTTTGATACAACTGTGTGAGTTTTTGTGTGTGTGTGGGGAGGGGAATGAAGGGTAACTCATTTATTGAGTATTCAGTCACATACCATACACCACATAGGATTTTGAAACTCAGGAGGCTTCATGTTAAAATCTGGCTCTCTGGTGACAATTGCTTAAGTGTGGGCTTTCCACTGTCCCCACCTCTCCCTAGTGTCTCACCAAGACAGAGGGGAGGGGACCCATTTATTGGGGTGGGAAGGGCTTGTTGGATTTTGAGTATAAGCCAGGTGTTAATTGCTGCATGTGTTTAAGGCATGCCCCCTAGCCCCAGGAGGTCATGAAAGAGTGCTATGGTGGGAGAGCACAGAGGAAACACGTGAGTAAGGTGGGGGGCTCAAGGAAGACTTCCTGGAGGTGGTGACATCTAAGCTGAATCCAGGTGGGAACCAGGCAAAAGGGTATTCCAAGTAGAGGAAACAACCTGTGCAAAGGCCCAGGGGTTGAAAAGTGGAAGATAGGGTCAGAGACCTGCAAGGAGAACAGCGGGGCTTGGCCTAGTCATCCTGCGTGATGGTCCCCTGCTCCCTTCCCTGAGCTTATTTAACTGTTCTTTCACTCCCTCCCTCCTTCCACTCCAGCCACCAAAAAAAAAAAAAAGCAAACCCACTGCCATCAAGTTGATTCTGACTCATAGCGATGCCCATTGGATTTTGAAGGCGGTAAATCTTTACAGAAGTAGATTGCTCCATCTTCCTTCCACAGACCAGCTGGTGGGTTTGAACTGTCACCCTTCTGGTCAACAGTCAAATGCCTTAGGCACTGCACAAGCAGAGTTGCCTCTTTTCCTTGAACATGGCTAGCTCATTCTGGCCTCAGGGCCTTTGCACTTTCTGTTCCCTGTGCCTGGAGTGCCCTTCCTCACCTCTTGACTCATGGCGGGCTCCTTTCACCCTTCAGGTCCCTGTTCACTGTCACCTCAGAGCAGCTGGCTGTATCTTACATCCAAAGGAGACAGCCACAACAGCTCCAGGCACTCCTAGCCCTTCCCCTTGCTATATTTTTTTCTCCATAGTGCTTCTTGCTCCCTGACTTTATATCTTTGTGTTTATGTTTATTACCTGCCTCCCTCCTACTGAACTATAAGCTCCATGAACAAAAGGCTTAAATCCCCTTTGTCCACGCTAACCCCAGTATCTGACACAGCAGGTCTCCAACATGTAGGGATTGACCGAATGCACACACAGTGTTAAGCTCCTGGTGTGTGTGAGGCATCGGAGCAGAGGCTGGCAAGACAGGTGCTAGGGAGTCAGTGAGGTAGTTAGAGTGTGTGTGTGGGGAATAAGGGCATGTATGGAGGCTGAGGGCGGCGCTCAGGACGGGGCCTGATCTTGTCTCTGCCTTCCCTCCAGGGTCACCGTCCTCTTTCCCAGCCCACTTTGGAGGCAGGTCCTGCAGGTGCGTGTCTGGGGTCAGGTTGCCCCCAGATTGGGTGGTCCAGGAGGGTGGGGGTCCCTGGGTCCCTGCTCATCCTGTGGCCCCCCCTCTCCTTTTCTTTCCTCCCTGACTGCCCCAGACCCACCAGATCTACACAAGAGAGCCTCCCTGCCAGTTGGACCAGCAGGCATGTCCCCGGAGTCCCCATCTGAGCCCAGGGAGGAGGCTGTCGGGGTTTTGCCTCAAGACTCAAGGCGGGTCCCTGGGGTAACAAGAGCGTCCTCAGAAGCCAATGGCCCCTGCTCCAGGCCCAGCCCTCCTCCGGAGCAAGAGCCGAGTAAGGGGACAGCAGTGGCAGAGAGGGGTGTGGATGAGGCCAAAGGAGGGGACGTGGTGCAGGTGGTGTGGGAGGGGCTGAGGGTCACAGAGGACTGTGCCATGGGGACCACAGGCCCAGAGCTGGAGGCTAAAGTGGAGGAAGTGGTGATGGAAGCCATCGGGGACAGGCAGCCAGCTGGCAGCCCCGAGCTCCCATCCTGGGTGAAGGAGGACAGGGATGTCGTGGAGGTGGTCTGGGAAGGGGTGGGGGGCACAGGGGGCAGCGACTTTGAGGGTACAGCAGAGGGAGGCAGGGGTCCGGAAGCTGCACAGCTGAGCTCACCAAGGCCCCTAAAACAGCTGCAGGAAGCAGCTTCTAGAGAAGGGGAGGTTGCTCCCGGGGGTAGCCCGGAGGGCAGTGGGCCGGGGGGCTCTGGAGGTGAGGAAGGGTCTTTCATTTGGGTGGAGAGAGTGACCCTCAGTGAGGAATGGGAGGAGCTGCTGGTGGAGGGGGTGGAAGGGCTGGAGGGGCTGGGGCCGATGACAAGGGAGGGAGGAGATAAGGGCCTATTGGAGGCAGAGCAAGGCGGAGGAGGCAAGGACACCTGGGAGGTGGGGAGGGGGCGAACAGAAGAATCAGTCGGGGTGGAGAAGAGAGAAGGTGAGGAGAAGCCGGGCACAGAGAGGGAAGGAGGAGAGGAGCCCCCTGGAGTAGAGAAGAAAGGAGGTGAGGAACAGCTGGGGGAGAGAAGAGAAGCTGAGGGATCGCTGAAGACAGAGCAGGAAGGAAGTGAGGAAGAGCAGGGGGCAGAGCAGGGAGTTGAGGAAGCACTGGGAGAAGAGAAGAAGGGAGATGAAGTACAGCCAGGGCCAGAGGAGGGAACAGATGAAGAATCAGTGGTGAAAGAGAGAAAAGGAGGTGAGGAGCCCCTGGGGGCAGAGAGGGCAGGAGGTGAGGAGCCCCTGGAGGCAGAGAGGGTGGGAGGTGAGGAGCCCCTGGAGGCAGAGAGGGTGGGAGGTGAGGAGCCCCTGGAGGCAGAGAGGGCCGGAGGTGAGGAGCCCCTGGGGGCAGAGAGGGCCGGAGGTGAGGAGCTAGTGGACATAGAGAAGACCCAAGGTGTGGAGGAAGATCTGAGTCCAAAAGAGCAGAGAGAGTCATTGGGGGAAAAGGAATCTGAGGCCGGTGCTTCCCTGGGGGCCAAGGAAGAGCCAAGGCCAGAGGACGAAGGGCTACAGCCCCAGGAGAAACCGGAAGTCTCCCTAGAGGAGGCGGCGGCAAAGCCCCAAACTCCCACTGAGGACCAGGGCCCCTTGGGGGATGCCACACCCCTCCTAGCAGAGACCGCCGTCTCAGAGCAGCCCACAGAGTGCCAGCCACTGCTGCTGGTGGAGGGGCCCAGCGCCAACCCCAGTGCCCGTCCTGTGCCCACCTATGCCCCTGCCCAGCAGCCAGAGCCATCTGCCCCCACTGAAGGCGAAGAGGCGAGTGGCCCTAAGCAAAAGACGTGCCAGTGTTGTGCGGTTATGTGAGGCCACACCCCTCCATGCCCAGCTCCTCTCACAGCTACCTCGGCCTCTTGGCAACCAGCAGAAGGTCCCAGGCACAGACAGGGCACCATGGGACTGGCCATGGCACCTGGGAGCCAGCTGGCCCGCACATCCACCTCCACCTGGGCTTCTGGACCCCTTGCCCACTGCCTGTGATCCTGGCCCCCTTCTGCCTTTATACTTGAAAATAAATCATTAAAACACTCAGATACCTTGAAATGTGTGTGTTGCTGACACAGAGCCTTCCCATCGCTTTCTGGTGGGAAATCAAGGGCTTTATTTACTAGAATCAATCAGAGTATAAATCAGTGAGAGTATAGGTTCAGCTGCTATAACAAAGACCTCGAGCTACAGTAGCTATAAAAACATAGAGGTTTATTTTTCCAGGTGGCTTTGAACCATGTGGTCACTCAGAGACATAGGTTCCTTCCCACTATTGCCCCACCCTCCCTTGAGCATGGTCAAAGCTGGATCAAGGGCAAGTCTATGCTTTAGCTCAGGAAAGGGAGGAGAACATGGAAGAGGCCCCACCCAGCGTTTTAAGGCCCACCAGACAGTGCCTGAGGGGTAGGAGTGGCACATCACTTCTGTTCATGTTCCATTGGGAAGAACTCAGTCCATGGCTGCACCTAGCTGCAAGGGAGGCTGACAGTTGTGCCCAACTACAGTTCTGTTACAGCAGACAGACAGACTTTGGGAGGCAGCTGATGCTGTTGATTTTACAGCTTTTCCTTTGCTCACTCACTGTAGTCCCTACTGGAGCTCGCCCTTTTCTTTTGGGGGTCCTTCAATCCCAGCTCTTCCTGGCTGGGTGCCCTCAGGCAAATGACTTGGCCTCTCTGAGCCTCAGTGTCTTCATCTGTCAACAGGGCTGCTCTGAGGTTGGGGTGAGCACCCCTGTGATGTGGCCTGCAGTCCCCGGTCTGGGATAAGGTTCAGGCCAGAACCTGAGTTCTGGGGGGCCCCAGAAGGCCCAGCTCCTCAGGTGTGGGCAGGAAATGTTTCTCATACCCAGAGTCAAGTGCAGCAGGGGGCTGGGGGAGCTCCGTACCTGGCAGCGGCTCCATTTCCTGCACCTCCAGGATGGGCACATCCCAGAGGGGTGGGGCCCAGGGCTCCTCCTGGGAAAGGATGAGGCTGAGATTCTGCCCCCCACTCCCCACCTCCCAGCTAACCCAGGACCTTTTTGCTCACCTCAATGTGGGGCTGGCCAAAATTGCTGTTGGCAGGGTCCGGAACCTTCTCCCAGACCCAGTGGGGCAGCACCTTATGCTGAAGGTGGACATTCCTGACAAGCAGGTAAGAGTCACGGCAGGGATCCAGGCAGCCAGACCCCCATGCCCAGATTGCAAGGTTCAGGAGCACCATGGTGCCCTCAGGCCTTACCCCCTCCCCTCCCCCAAGTTCAGCTAATGTCCAGCTCCCCTCCCCACCCAGGAAGAGACCCACATATCTGACAGGCTCACCTAGAGATGGCTAGGGCCAGACCTATGAGGGGGATGCTACACAGGAGGAGGACACCTGGCAGAACTTTCCACTTCAGTGTGTTATCTGTCGGGGAAGAAGAATGATCCAACACCAGGGAGCAGGAAGGCTTAGAGTGAGGGAGGAGGCAGCTAAGGTTCTTGGATGAGGCATGGCTTAAGTCTGGCTTGTCAGTGGGCAGGGCTTGTGGCTAGGTGAGAGCTGAGGATGGGGGGAGATCTTGGGATGCAGTAAGGCTTGTGTCTTGGGCAAGGCTGGGAAAAGGGTCATGGATGGGGTAAAAGGATGAAAGACACACTTTGCCTAATAATACACAGTGGCACTAAGCAGAATTTAAAATGCCCCAAGACATTGTCCACAAGCCCCACCAAGTTAACAGCTGCCCATCTACTGAATGAAGCCCAAGTAATGACTCCAGACACACCCCCAAATGGAGCAGGCTCCCTCCTTTCAGTAGTCCCACCCCCAACCCCCTACCTGGTAGGTGCAACTGGATGCTAGGACCAGGTGGGCCCTGTCCTGCCACAGTAGATGCGGTCATCCACAGCTCACAGGAACCCCAGTGAAGATTTGGCAAGGTGATGTTCTGGGTGCCACCACTCACTGAAGGACACAACCCGAGAGGTTGAGGAGGGGGTACAGTGTCACCTCAGGGCCTCTGCATGTGCAGTCCCTCAGCCTAGAACACTCTACTCCATATATCCACATGGCTCGTTCCTTGCCTCCTTTAGGGCTTTGCTCAGCTGTCACCTCCTCATCAAGGCCTCCCCTGATATCTTCTTTTAAAATTGCAACCCCCTTCACCACTTACAAGGACCTCTGGTCGTGTAGTGGTTAATGCATTTGGCTGCTAACCAAAAAGGTCACTGGTTCAAACCCACCAGCCGCTCTGCAGGAGACAGACGCGGCAGTCTGCTTTCATGAAGATTGACAGCCTTGGAAACCCTGCATGGCAGTTCTATCCTGTCCTATAGGCTCACTATGATTCAGAATTAAGTTGATAGCAATAGATTTTTGGGTCTGACTGCTAACCAGAAGGTTGGTGGTTCAAACCCACCAGATTTACCACCTCAGAAACCCAATGGGGGTTGCTATGAGTTGGAATCAACTCAATAGCAGTGGGTTTGATTTTTTTGGTATATATATATATATATATATACACATACATACATATCAGAGGTTTGAATTTACCCAGAGGCACCTCTGAAGTCCTGGTGATCTACTTTCAAAAGACCAGTCATTGAAAAGCCTATAGAGCACATTTCTACTCTGACACACATGAGGTTACCAAGAGTTGCAATCAACTTGACGGCAACGGTTATTTATTTATTAGGGTAATCATATCAAGGCGATTATGTTGGTTTTCTTTTTTTATTAAAAGGTCTATAGAAAAGAGAAAGAATGTGGAGCAGTTCAAATTCCCAAAGAATGCAGACTTAGTGGACCCACTGTGGCCAGATAAATCCCTGAGACTATTTCCCTGAGATACTCTTCACACCTTGAACCTAAATTATTCCCTGAAGTCATCTTTAAACAAAGAAAACAGGTTAGCTCAAAAAGTAGAGGACGTCACCCTTAAATATTGTGCTCTTAAAAAATTATGTACATGAGACCAAAGGGGCAACAGTAACTCCAAAGCATAGATGAAAAGTTTAGGGGGCAGTGAGCATGAAGGAGCTCTCCTGCTATAGCAGTTAAGGCATTTGGCTGCTACTCTGTGGAAGAAAGATGAGGCAGTTAGGGGTCACTTTGAGTCAGAATCGACTCTATGACAGTGAGTTTGGTTTTGGTTTGGGAGTGTAAATGAATGGGGGAAAAACAAGGAGAGCAGAAACAATGAGAATGTTGACACAATGTGAAAAATGTGGCCAGTGTTACTGAAAAATATGTGCAGAAATTAGTAAATGGGGTCATGTGGCGCATGTTTGAATGTGTATATCTTTACACACTCCAAAAAAAGCCCTATCAGTTAAAGATAAATGCTGATGTACGTACTAGAATACTTAGAGATGAAAATGACACCAATGATTCTAGAAAAAAAAAATCTGGGGGATAAATGAAAAGAAGATAGGCAAAATCCTGATAATTGCTGATGCTGGATAGTGGATACTGGAGTTTTGTTATACTTTCTACTTTGTGTGTGCTTGAAATGTTTTATTATAAAAAGTTAAAATAAAAAAACAATACACAACTCTTATCTCCACATTAGCATCTTCATAGAAAAAGCTGGAGGCTATGTTGTCAGCATAAGAGAAACAAAGAAGATGTGCTGATTGATATTCTTGATGACATGTATTTTAACACTGTAGCCTTTGTAACAAGCACACATAACTTTTATATTTAGAAAAAAGAGCGACAAAGATAATTTTTAAGAGTCATTTGTGTTCAAGGTAAAAATTTAGCTTACAACCAAAATTATGAAAAAGAAATAAAAATCATTTGTAATCCTACAAGCCCTGTTGCCATTGTGGGGAATTTCTTTTCCTGTTTTTGCCAATGGTTTTGCTCTATACTGGGTTTCTTTTACAAAAATAGAACCATCCCATGGAATTTTGCAATCCTTTCTATCTTTTTCACTTAATAAAATATGACAGACACCTTTCAATGTCAGTAAATATAGATCTGAAACTTCCTCTTTAATGGCCAAATGATAGTTCATTACATTGATAGCCGGGATGCTTATTATCCTCTAGGGGACTGATGGCCTCATGTATCCACCCAGGAACTAAGAGAGAGCCCAGGGGCCCATCTAGGGGCAGAGGGTGGGCTAGACTAATGGTGTGGGTCTTGTGGGGGCTGGGAAGAGGAGGCAGGGAATCTCACCATTCATGCAGTCGGGGGATGCAGTTTCACTCTGCACACACAAAGTGTAGTGGGTGAGGCAGCCCCGGAGTTGGTGCCTTGGGACCTCTCCCCATGCTATGGTGGGGGTTCCTGAGGGAGCATCCTGGAGTCGCCAAAGCTCTGGCCCCACAAGGGGAGCTGAAGAAGAAGGCAGTGGTTCAGACCTGCTGGGGTTCCAAGACCCTCCACCCTCCAGCCCCACTTCTTACCCAGTTCCTCTATGAATCCCCAGACTGAGGGGGCAGGAGCCAAACCCCAAGGAGAAACTGTGGTCACCGTGATGTGATAGGGAACTCCTCTCTCAAAATTTCCTGAGTGGGGGAGGAACAAAGTCCAGTTAGGGTTGGTTCTCCCTCCCTGCTCATTTCCTACTTTGTAGGAGTCTGCATTAGGGTCCCCAGTAGGAGACCCTGAGACAGAGATTTGAGTACAAGTTGTTTATATAGATGGTGACCCCAGGCAGCACCAGTAGGGCAGTGGGGAAGGGAAGGAAGGTCACTGGTGAATGGTGTGTTATTAAGGAAGGTCCCACCATGGGCAACTGGGACTCCATTCCACTGATGATGGGGGGCAGCAGAGAGCACTTAGTGCAGAGTCGTCCCACCTAGGAGTGAGGAAGCTGGGGTACTGGTTCACCAACTCCCTCCCATCAGTCATTGGTTGAGGGCTGCTGGGGGCGCCCGGGGCTTAAATTCTCTAGCATTTTCAACCTGTTACTCAGGCAGGCAAAATGCTTCAGACACCAGGAAAAGCCTTTGGGCCAGAAAATGTAGATGCTGGCAGCTGGGAGAGGCCCAGTGGCTCTAAGAGAGTGAAACCAGGGACATGGGTAGGGCACCCACAGCTCCTGGCATGGTAGGTGAGAATTCCCTCCTCAAAATCTACTGCTTCAAGGATGGTCCTTCCCAATGGAGAATCTTCCAGAATTGAGGGTCCTATCCTTTCACCCGTGGATCCCTGCTGGCACAGTGGTTAAGCGCTCTGCTGCTAACTGAATGGTCAGTGATTGGAACCCACCAATTGCTCTGTGGGAGAAAGATGTGGCAGTCTACTTCCATAAATGTGGATAATAATAATAATTTTAAAAAACCTCCTTGCCATAGAGTTGATTGCAACTCATAGCCACCCCCATTGGGTTTCCAAGACTGTACATCTTTACAGAATCAGACTGCCCCATCTTTCTTTCACAGAGTAGCTGATGGGTTCAAACAACCTTTTTGGTTAGCAGCCAAATGCCTTAACCACTACACCACCAGAGCCTTGGATAACCTATGGGCAGTTCTACTCTATTCTATAGGGTTGCTATGAGTCAAAATCAACTCCATAGCGATGTGTTCAGTCATTTATTTATTTAATTGTTCTTTAGTCCATATGTGTGGCCATTGGGACTCCATCCTAGATTTCTCACCCATACCGTCTCAGGCCCTCTCTAGTCCTCTACACCAACAACTGACGTCCCAATACCAAGCCCTGGCCCAGAACCCTTTGTAGGCCTCAGATTCGAGTACCCAGAAGTTCCAAGAATGATGCCAATTTGATGACCACACAAGCATCAAAGATGCAACATACTCAGTGTCAGATTACCCAAGAAGCAAGGTAAGCATGGGCTTACTTGTGCTTACTTCCTAATCTGTGGTGAACCTATAAAGAAGTCTCCCTTGCTTATTGGGTAATACACTCCTGAATATAACCAAATGAGTTCCTGAAACTTCTGCTCTGAGATTTCTGACCAGAACTTGCCAGCTTCTCCCCACTCCTCGGTCCCTATCTGGACCTGTGCAGTCAGTCACCTCTGGCTAGTACTATGACTTCTACTCTCAACCCCACAGTCTGTTCCCTCCACAGCCACCAGAGGGCACCCATGAGCAGCTAAGACTAGACGTATCCTCCCACTGCTCAGAACCCTCCATGGCTACCGCTTCACTCAGGGTACAAGTCCAAGTCCTCTGTGGTCCACAAGGCTTCTTAACTTATCTGCCCTCAGTCACCCCTTTGCTCACTCTGTTCCACCATACTGGCCTCCTTGGATGGGGCAATCTACTTCTGTAGGGATACTGCCTCGGAAACCCAAGGAGGGGTCACTATGAGTCAAAATCAACTCAACAGGAGTGAGTTTGGTTTTTTTTTTGGTACTGTTCCTCTACCACACCAGGCATAGACCAGCCTCAGGGCCCTTACACTGGCTATTCCCTCTCCCCAGAATGCTTTTCCCTCGGACATCCTCATGGTTCCTCCCTCACCTCCTTCAGGTCTTGGCTCAACCACCACTTCCCCAGAAAATCTTTTTCTGACCCCTCTTTCTAAAAGAGCTGTTCCCCCTCCTTCACCTCTCTCTGCTTTATTCTTCTCCAATTACACTACATATAGACTAGTTGCTTGTTTAATTGGCACCCTGCCCCACATGAATAGTGGCTCCATGAGGGCAGGGGCATTGCTGAGAGGCAGGGTGGTGTGATGGTTCAGGGCTTGGGTGCAGGAGCCTGTGTGGTTCAAATTCTGGTTCCACCAACTACGTGCTGTGTGGCCTTGGGCAAAGTAGCTTAACCTGACTGGGCCTTTTCCTCATCTGTAAATTAAGCATTAGAATAATAGAAACTCACATTATGTTGTTGTTGTTGTTAAGTGCCGTCGAGTCGTTTCCGACTCATAGCGACCCCATGCACAGCAGAACGAAACACTGCCCGATCCCGCACCAGCCCC